ACACTTCCAGTAAACCCCTGTTTCATCAGCATTATAAATTTGATCGGCTGTGTCATTTACAATTTGTTCAAATGTTGCACTATATTTTGTTGCTGCTTGTGTATCAGCCGACTGTCTTTCTCCAGCAATATCTAACTGTCTAATACCATGACGAGTCTTGAAATACCTAAGCCATCCATCACTAAATGCGCACTCTGATTCAATGTTCATTTGCTCCTTAAAAGACTTTGCTTAGGCAATAAGCATCGGCCCAGAAATTGCCATACCTTCTGATCGTTTTAACAAAAACCATTCGTGCAACACTTTATCAAGCTTTTCTAATTTGGGCCGATGTAAACTTTTTCTTTCAGCAATTTTATTGTAAGGCTCAGAAGAAGTTGTGAATTCTAGAATTTTATTCTTTGCCTTTTTTATATCATAAATTGTTGACTTTCCAATGTCGTATGTTTCCATTAGAACAGCACTGCTCACACCACGTTCTAGTTTCTTAAGTATTTCAAGTTTGTCACTCAATTTCAACGTGTTCTTCTTTCTCTTCACACAACAAAGTTTATCTACTTTAGGAGCCATTATTATGGGCTTGTAAATGGAAAGAGTAGGACTCAAAATTACATACGTTGTCACAGTTCGATTGCTTGTTTTAAAGTAGCGATCGAGTGGTCGCTTGTTGTTGCTGTGTAGCTGTGGTGTTCACGCATACACACATATACACACTGTACAGCCCTGTAAATGTATTCAATGCATATTATATCATTATGTCTAAATCAAATGTAAGTCTGTATATTTTTAGCCACCGGCTGCAACTCTATTAATAAACCGTTTATTATTATTATTATTATTACAAAAGATTTATAGTGCCTCAAATTTTACATTTCAGGACAAGCTAATTACAAAACCAACAAAATTAGCTACCTTAATTTACAATTACTTTTATTATTAGAATTATGTAAATTATTTTTTTAAAGTAACTCCATTCATTCACGTAACCCACAAAAGCCCGCTAAATTTAAAAAGTTTGAAAGTTTTCGAAAAGTCCGGATTCTCGGGTGGTCTGGATTTTTGCCATCCGGATTTTTGGACTTTTACTGTACATATACAATATAAGTAAAAAAAATTTCAAGAGCAGCAAATTAAGTCGTCGCGAGCCACGCAATGAGTACCACGGTACTACCATGGCCGCAAAAAATATTGCTCCCTTCTGCATAATTAACTGTGTTTATATATTGTACATGCTTTGACCGCGAGAAAAGCAGCCTGCCAAATTTGTCAAGGCGGGAATATATAACATCTGACATCTCTATGGTGTTTCCCACTCGACTAGAAGTGGGAGAAACTTGGCCGTGCCCCATTTGCTATTGATCAGGGTGTGCGTTAATTTTCGCTCACCAAGCTGATGAGTGCAAATTAAGACACACCCACAATTAGCCCCAAATTTTCTTTCAAAACTGTATTAATGGCTCCCAAAAACATGTCTGAGGCAGAGAAGGGTCGGATCCTTGCCCTGTTAGACGATAAAGTCACTGTGAAAGAAATTTCAAGGAAAACAGGACAAGGAACGGCAACGATTAAGAGGCTCAAGCGATTGACACGCAACCTTCCCGCCAACATTATTCCACCAAGGAAATTATCACCAGGAAGACCTCCAAATGCACTGATTCACTACTGAGGCTTGAGATAATGAGAGATCCCAATATGAAAGCCCATTCTCCTACAAGACGTATCAGAATGAACAATTCAACATCGCCTTCAGAAGGAACTTCATCTGCCTTTCCATCAAGCTGCACGAAAACCACTTCCCATGGACCGAATGTGCTGTCAGTGGCTTGCTTTTGCAAGAAAATACCAGCACTGGAGCAAAGAACAATAGAATTCTGTGATGTGGTCTGATGAAAGCACTTTTTGCGTCGTGACTGCAGGGAAACGGACAGTCAGAAGGCCCACCAACACCAGCCGGTATGATCCTCATTGCACCATTAAAACCGTGAAACATCCTGCAAGTGAGATGGTGTGGGGAACATTCAGTGAAAAATGTGGTCGTGCTAGCCTCCATTTCCTCCCCACAAACACGACAATGAAATCTGATCGCTACAAGACTGTCTTGGGAAAAACATTTATTGGAGTATTATCAACTTCACCAGTCCACATTCTTCATGCAAGACGGTGCCCCCTGTCACAGGTCAAAAAGTGTGACAACTTGGCTTCATGAAAGGGCTATTACATTGCTGGAGTGGCCTGGAAACTCACCAGATTTAAACCCCATCGAGAATGTATGGCACGAGATGAAGTGGAAGCTGTCAACATGGGACATATCAAATGTACATCAGTTACAGGAGGAAATCAAGCGCATGTGGGAGTTTGAGATGGATGAAGAGTATTTTCAAATGTTAGCAGAATCCATGCCAAAAAGACTTAAACTGGTAATAAAATGTAAGGGAAATTTGACTAAGTACTAAATAGTAGTAGAATAAAACATTTTAAGTCTGTAAACGTGTTTTATTTATCCTTGAAATACGTTTGAGTATGAATATCATGTGAAAAATTAAAGGGTATCAATATTTTTTGCGGTACAGTGGTCCCTCGGTTAACGAGCACAATCCGTTCTAGAAGGTTGCTCGTTAACCGAAACCATTGTTTCAATGGGTTTTTGGGTTATTGGTTCCAGCTCACCAAAAATTACCTAAATTCAACAAAAAAAGTAGAAAAGTACACTTAATCTGAGGTGTGTATGTAGAAGGCTCCTGGATGATGATGATGATGGGAGTTAGAATGGGGGTGGAGGAGAAGGGAGAAGAGAAGGCATTGGGGTGGAAGAGAAGTCACCCCATGGCGCCATTTCACCCATAAAATTTTAGTTCTCTTGGTGTAATTCAAGATTATTTTCTTTAAATCAACACTGCACTGCATTATATATTGTCAATATGTAAAATAAATTTCAAAATGACCAATAATTTGCTTAACACAGAAAAAAAGCATTTAGTTGAAGAGAGTCTCAAGCAAGATGTTACCTCCACTGAAAAGACACAAAGACTGATGCCTGTATGCTGTGTTGGCAGGCTGGATGGCGTGCCACAAACTAGTGACCCAACCTTCAATTATGTTCAACAATTGTTGAAATAACTAAAAAATTTAATATTAAACTTTTAAAATTATTGAATAGTATAAACTTCTTGATATTTACTAAAAGGGTAAGGAATTTAAGCCCTAGAACAATTACTGTATTGGCGGACTAATACTACAGCTGGTGGACCGCCAAATGCAAGCTAAAACATGTGGAGGTCGGCTCGTAAGAAACTCGTTAATCGAGGGATTGCTCGTTAACCGAAGTTAAGAAGCTTACGGAAGGTAACTCGTTAACCGAGGCGCTCGTTAACTGAGGGACCACTGTACAGTGGTCCCTCGGTTAACGAGCAACCTTCTAGAACGGATTGTGCTCGTTAACCGAGGGACCACTGTATAGACATTACATATTTTGCATAAGAGATAAAATTTGTAGTCCTTTAGTGTAGTACATTTGAAAACAAAGTTAGTACAGTAATATGTTGCTCAAAATTATGGCTTTCTCACAGGAAATGTCTATATAACTAACCACAGTAATCAGGATAATATGTACAAGGGATCCCCGAAATTCGCGGGGGTTAGGTTCTCAAAATGGCCGCGAATCGCCAAATCCGCGAATAACATTTGTTTGCCATTAGGACAATTATTTATTTTACCTGCATTGTATACCTTGTATAATAGAAAAATACTCACACAAATAATCATAAACAAATTTATTAAAAATGTGAGTCTACCCTCAAGTCCGTGCTTTATTAATAAAGTAATAATGCACGGAGTGAACTTGAGGGTAGACTGTCACATTTTTAATAAATTTGTTTCTCATTATTTGTGAGAGGATTTTCCTATTATTATTTATTTGTATGTATACAGTATTTTGTGTGTCTGTGTCTACACACACACACACACACACACATATATTTACAATACAGGTAAAGGAAATTACTGTCCCAGCCGCAAAAATGCCGGCAACTTTAAAATTTCCCACAGGACAGCAAAATTCCTTTTTATACATTTAGTACATTCGCCGGAAGATTCGGACAATCGTTTTTTCCGGACAGATGGTTCTCCCTTTAGTCCGGATCTTCTAAGGTTCACTGTACTGCCAATAAGGAGAGAGATCTTGACATTGCGATAGACCAGTCATTGAAAGCAGCACAACGAGTGGGGGCAGCAGTGAGGAGAGCAAACCGAGATTTGGGAATTATAAAGCATTCCTTTAAATACAAAGATAGGAAAATGCTCCTTCAACCGTACAAAGATCAAGTACTTCCCAGTCTGGATAACTGTATACAAGCTTGGAAACTCTACCTCCAGAAAGATCTAACATACTAGAAAAGGAGCAACACAGAGTGACTAAAATGATTCTGGAACTATGTCATCTCAATTATCCAAGTAGACTGAAGGGCTGAGAACTAACAACCCTTCATACAGATCCCACTGAAACATGCAAAATCCTGACATTCTTTGTGATGTCACGCACCACCAACATGAGAGGACATAACTACAAGCTCGCCAAGTTACCATTCAGAACAAATATAAGGAAATACTTCTTAACACAGAGGCTGGTAGACCTATGGCTGTGGCACCAAGAACAGTATTGGGCTTCAAAATAGCCCTTGACAAAATTATCAAGAACAATGGAGGGATCCTACACTGGCCATTGGCCTCCTTTTCTCAGCATGATCATCTCTAGTCGGTGACCATGAGGTGAATAAGGTAAACTTATTGGGTGAATGAGGAAGGTCATCTTGTGAGCCTGGAGCCTAACCCCCTACTTCCCATAGGCCCTTAGTATTTTTTTACAGTTTCTATTTGCTCAGTGTTTAACAAAAATGTAACCAACGTGCAGATTGAGTGCTGACTAATTATTTTTGGTGTTTAAGTAATATATATACGTACTGTATATACGTATATATACTGTACTGTACTCGTATATAGCTCACCTGAAATATTTGAATACGAGGGCCAGCACTTGGAGCATCCAAATGAATATCTCGAAAAATCAGTCTTTGGTCCACTATGAACTGCAGAACAAAGGCACACTTGAATCCTGCCTTACTTTTGTCATAGCAATAATCTTGTTTTTCAGGACCAGGTGGTGTCCGCATGTGAATAAGTGCTGCATCCATCGCTCCCATGACCCCAGGGAAGCCCGAAACATTTTTGATGGCCTCAGCTATAACTAACCTAGTCAATAAATACAAGATATTACTATATCACAGAGATAATACTTTTTTATATCTTGAAAAAAGAAAAAAGAAAGATTACTCATTAAATTCTATATTATGGCAGGATACTTTGACATAGTAGCTGGGATTCATCTGTGATTAATAAACATCATCAAAAGTAACAACAGTCATAAAAAGGGGCAGTTAGAAGCCCAGGTTCACCCCCCTTGGACAATACAGCAGAGAGGAACTTCTAGTTCAAGTTTAACAGTTTTTGCTCATACATAGTTGCTGCCCTCTGGTCATTCTGGGGCCTTGGGGAGGACTGGCCATGAAGCATTAATTACCTGCTATTACCGTAATAATCTGTTATATCATCCTGTGCCACATACAGACATGTTGTTTCCAGGGATTACTATTAACAGAGATGAAGCACACATCAGTAAGAATGCAGAGTGAACAATGAGGCCACCTGTTCAGTTAAAGTGTGGCCAAGAAAGTATGGGCTTAGACCTGTATGGTCAACCCAGAGAACATGTAACATGAACAGTTAATTTGGTGATGTCAATACACTACAGGTAGAGTAGTCCTCATTTATCGTAGGGTTTCTGCTCCTGAAAACTTTACAATGTACAAAATTACAATATGCAAAACTAATTTTCACATAAGAAACAATATACTGTGCAGGCAGTCCCTGACTTATGAAGATCTAGCTTATGAAAATATAAAATTAAGAAGAAACAATTTTACCCCAATTTTTTGAGGTGCTTACGGAAACTCTTAAGTTATGATTTTTTCTTCACTTTTTGTAAATTTTTTGCAGTATCAGGAGATGCTTCCCATTCAGGACCAGGTCAGTTTATAAAGATAATTAAACTAAAAATAATGTACAGTACTGTAATGTATTTTACTGTCTTAATATTTATTTAAGCTAAAATAAAATACAGGTAGTGTGTTAGTTATCATGGCTCACAGAATGATTACGTGAAGAAGTACAGTAGTAAGATGCTGCTTCAAGATACAGTGATATCCCTGTTAGCCAGAACAATTGGTGCAGAGCACTTCCGGGGATGAGAGATTTCCGGATAACCAGACGACTTTCTCAAACCTGGAAAAATTCCATTTCCGGTTACTGGGAAAATTTTCTGAGTGTCTAGACTAGACATATTGCAGAGACGGACACTAGCCCACTTCCCCAGAACGTTTCTGGGTGCTGGAGATGTTTTCCTTGAGTCTAAACTACCGGAGTCTGTAAATGCAGTTCTAATTAAGTTAGAAACATAATTTCTTTACTTTAATAATCCAGAATAGTTTATCTAAAAGTTTGGTTAAATAAATACAATTAAAAATAAAATATCTATAGGATATGGGCGTGAATGAAGCTGTGTGTTAAAGTAAAGCCTGATATTTTTCACTCCCGTAGAGCTGTGGGGTCTCGTGTAACTGACCTGACGTGATGCAATGTAAAGTGGAGGTAGGATAGGGGATTAGTGGTCTCATATTACTGACCTGATGGAATGTCAGGTCACCCTTTCTTGGGTGGAGGATTAGTGGGTCAAATAACCTGAAGATGTCTTGAATAAACACAAAACCTAAAGGATTTTTAAGGAGATTGTGATAAATGAGCAAATTTGTATCCCTTCAATATTAGATTACATAACATTTTAAAATATGGAGTGAGAAAACAGAAAGGTGTGGGTAATTAGAGAGAGGGAGTGGAAATAAGTTTTGCCAAGCGCTTCTCAACAGCTGATGTTTAACTCGCTACCCTGCAGTCACACACACACAGATGTGTCATACAATAAGACCCTCACTCCTCATGCTTGCTGTCTTAATTCCCTTGTTGGGGGTGTGTGAGTGGTGTTGGAATGTGTTTGTGCATGTGGGGGGGAGGGGGGGGGGGTGATGTTGGGGGTGTGCTTGTTGGAGGGTGTGTGTGGGTGGTTGTTGGAGGGTGTGTGTGGGTGGTTGTTGGAGGGTGTGTGTGGGTGTGTAATGTTGGGGTTGTGTGTGATGTTAGGGTGTGTGATGTTTGGGGGGTGGTGATGGTGTGGGTGATATGTGGTGAGGGTGGTGTTGGGGGTGTGTGTGTGTGATGTAGAGGTGTGTGGGTGGAGTTGGAGGGTGTGTGTGAGTGATGTAGAGGTGTGTGGGTGGAGTTGGAGGGTGTGTATGTGTGATGTAAGGGTGCATGTGTGATGTGTGGATGGTGTTGGTGTGTAGCACAGTGTGAGTAATGTTGGTGTGTGTGTAGCACAGTGTGGGTAATGTTGGTGTGTGTGTAGCACAGTGTGGGTAATGTTGGTGTGTGTGTAGCACAGTGTGGGCAATGTGAGCCGGTGTATTGTTGGCGGAGCAAACCTTTTTGGGGGTGAGGGTTGCGTGGTTAGTCTCTCCCCCTTCCTCACTCAAGCGTGGCTAATTGTGATAGGGAGATGAATTTGATACCATAATGATCCTTAATAAATTTTCTATGAGGCATTTCCAATAAGATATCCTTAAACGAAATATTTCATTACACACCATTTTTTTTTAGATAATCCTGAATACTTTATCTAAAAGTTTGGTTAAATCATTATATTTAAAAAAAAACAAAAGCTCTATATGAAATGGACGTGAATAGAGCTGTGTTAAAACTGATAGGAGCTGTAGTTATTACACCACTGTACAATATTGTTCATACTGTAAACATAATAATGTATACTACTGAATATATTATATTCACCAGCAGATCCTGTCATCTTTAGCCTACAATAGGCAGACACTTCACTCAATTGACTGTAATACATAACTAATCACATCTTAACACTTGTGATGAAGGTTGGGTGGGAGATTATTGGGTCATGTTACTAACCTGACCTGAAGCAAAGTCAGGTCACCCATTGTTGGGTAGGGGATTAGTGGGTCTTATGACCTGAAGGAGTCTTGAATGACATATTTTACCTAAGAGGTATATACATAGTACTATACTGTATTGTATATGAAGGGTACTACAGGTATTAATACGCACAGATTATTACAGTAACGTATCTTTACTAATTAATGAAAAACAAATATGTAAACAATATTGTACCATGAATGAGTCAGTACAGTAGACAAACAGAGAGGCGACCCTTTGGGGGAGGAGGGGGTGGCTCGGTCACATTTACCCCCAATGGACCCTTCTCCCTCTTCCTCCCTCGCTCACAACATTCGTTATAAACTTTATTTATGTTAAAGAGATGAATTTGATGACATAATGATTCTCTGTGAGACGTTTCCAATATGATAACCTTAAACGACAAGCCGAATAATAAGATAAAATAAGGATTTTACTGTACTGTATATGAAGGGGACTGGTATTAATAAGCTCAAATTATATTATCAGTTTCTATCCCCAAGTCTCTATGTAAAGAACTAAACAAAAAATTTATTTGAAATACTCCATAACATTCAATACCATAATATCCTGACCACTAGGGCTAGTGATCCAGAATTTTTCCTGTGAAAAAAGCATAATTTTGAGCAGCACATTACTGTACAGTAGGGTCGGGATATATCGCGAGATAGGGTCCAATGATGTTTGCTATACAGTATACTAAATCGCAACAGTATATAATTACCGTACATGTAATTAATGGAGAAAATAGGGTTAGGTTCTGAAGGCTCAAAAGTGACTAAACTTTACTTAACGAGTTCATTTTCTTACTAACTAAAGCACCAATGAACACTAGACTCGGGAACAACAGGCTATTTCAATATCAACATCAAGGAACACTAGACTCGGCAGCAGATGCCACACTGCCATCCTCACTTGACAATCCCACACCTACATAAACAAACACCAAAAATATTAGTTACAGTATTAAATCTTTTCCATTAAGCTTCCCATTATCTTCACTTCACTTTTGACATCACTAGCAACCCATTTACACTCGCTTTAGAAATTGGAATCTGCACCAGACTCGGCAGCTGACTCGCCATCCCGAGAACAACAGACGACACACTGCCACCCTCACGTAACAATCATAAACAAACACCAAAAATATTAGTTACAGTATAAAATCTTTTCCATTATGCTTTCCATTATCTTCACTTCACTTTTCACGTCACTAGCAACCCATTTACACTCACCTTAGAAGTCGTAATCTTCAGCAGTCAGCTGCTTTCTCGTCACTCACTCAGAAAGACTGAGCAGGTGAGAGTGAATGTGTGAGTGAGCAGCCACGGTGGTGCCTCTGGTGAGCAAATAACACATTTGTTTGCCATGGCGGTACATTTGAAATATTTCCTGACTGATTTCCCTCGCGAAATAAAAAAATTTATCGCTATATAAAAGAAAATTTCAATAATTTTGGTAAACGTGATATAATTTTTTTTTTATATAAAGTCACGATATATCCCGACCCTACTGTACTCATTTTGTACTCAATGTACTATGGTAAAGGACTAAAATTTTTATCTCTTGTGCAAACTATGAGATGTTTATACTCAAATTAATTGCTATCTTGCAAGGATTCCAATAATGCAAGTCATATTCTCTTAAGTCAAGTATTAGATAATTTATACAAGAAAACTTTAAGCCCAAAACAAAATTCATCCTATTAATCGTTATCAACGTCATCTACTCCCCCACTGCTGGCTGGGAGGAGGGGCAGAGGTGGGGGTGTTGACAGCCAGGAGGGGAAATTAACGCATACTCAAGGATTATGAAAGGCAGGGAGCTTAAGTTTTTCGTTTATAAAATGTCACTGACTTGGTTTAGCTTAATATAACTTGCCGGAATTAAAATTTTCTCGGAAAATCGTTCCCAAAGCTGGAACTTTCCTGCTTTGGGAACGATTTTCTGAGGGGCACATTTTCCGTAAAATTCTGAGAAAATTTTCCCGATACCCGGAAAATTCTGGAAATAGAGATTTCCAGATAACGAGACGACTCTCTCTTAGCCGGAAAAAACCCCTCATCCCCGAAATTTTTTGTAATTTTCCGGAAAATTTCGGCTTTGGGAACGATTTTCCGAGAAAAATTCAATTCCAGCTATCGGAGAGTTCCGAGTTTGAGGGATTCCGGCTAACGGAGATATTACTGTATTTCCACTGTGAGAAAACTGTGTGTTTAGTATCCCAGAGTTTGATCTAATGTCAGTGGAAAGAATAAAATGTTAAATGGACAAGTTTAGCTCGCCTTTTTCAGATAAAACTACTGTACAACAAAAATCGAATCCAGTGAAAGCAAAACATCTCAAAATGTATATACTGTACTGTATATACAGTGCAGTAGATCAAGTTATTCTATTTGGTCATGCTAGAATTTCATGCATATGAATACAAGTGTGAAATAATAGTCGAGAAATATTGCAAATTGAAAGAATTATCATGATTATTACACTAACCTCTCATCCAGTCGTGGCATGTTCATATATATGTCTTGCTGTCTAATGAGGAAGTCAGCAAACCTGACAGCAGTATTCAGAAAAGCAATGGGTGACATGCTGAATCTGTTAAGAGAATAAACTCACTATTAACTGTGATAAGCCATGATATAGCTTACTATACAGGTGAAAAGAAACTAAAATGAAGAAAAGAAAAGAAAAGATATGCATCTGGTATTCCATCCCTGACCTAACCAACTCATCATAATATTGAACCAAGTCATCGGAACTGCAGTGCTGTACAGTACTGTAGCCACTTGGTAAACATCATGTCCTTCAAGAAGACCCCTTGAGAGTGTAACCTAGAGAAAGATTATCAGACATTGACTGAAGACTTCTTTGTGATGATGTAAATTACAAGTGATTGGAAAGGATAAGAGATGCCTCTGTAAGTGTGAGAGTAGGAAGAAAAGAAAATGAAAACATACAGTATATCTGTCTCTCTCTAAGAAAAACAAAAAAGGGAAAAAATAATGAATTCTCATTTTCTAATTGCAATGAATGACTTATGTACAGCATATTAAGTACCGGTAAGTCTTTGGGGGTGAAATATGGATTCTTAGGAAACCAGAACTTAATTGGGATCTAAAAATCAACTGAAATTGAAAATTAGAATAAATCTTCTCAACAATACTAGATACATTTGATTTATTGGTCCCCTTTAAATCCACGTCCTTCAGTCCTAAACAATGGACTAAAAAATATTATAATAATCACATGTAACCGCTGCAAGACCCCGGTGACTCCAACGACCTCATGAGTTCTATGGGAGCCCAGCGACCCCATGTCCTCTATGTGACCCTGTGTTTGTGAACTGCTGCTCTAAATAAATAAATAAAAAAGCAGGTAGAAGATTAGGGAGCCTGCCATTACACATACATTCTTCAATCCTGCTTTGAAAATAAGTTACAGTCCTGTACTAAGATGAACACCTCAGTTCCAGCTCAAGTAGTACTCCCAATGAGAGGAGGAAGCATGAGTTGCCTAATCCAGGCTTGGTTAAAAATGAATTTTAGGATCAGTACTTAATTTTTAATGAATGTTGATCTCAGATAACTCGTGTTTACTTAAGCCAGTTTAAATAGGGAGGTTGTAAGTGATTTTGTAACATTGTCTCTTACTTGATGAGTCACACTATCATCAAATACTGTACAGGCTGAAAAAGTAGTATCTTACAGATTCTTAACCCTTAGGCCCTGGGTGACGTTGTAGAACGTCCGACCAGCGCGCCCCGGCTGATGTTCCAAAACGTCCGCCTATTCCCACCAATTTTTTATTATTTTTTGAAAAGTTGATTTTTTCTCAATTTATCCCATGCTGGGGGTTTACTGCCAGCAGCACCCTAACCCGGGGCTTTAGGGTTACTTATCAAAGGATACATGTCAATATGTATATGTTTGATGAGGTATCAGCTAAGATGGGACTCAGCTCCTGCTCTGAGTGGATCTGATGGACATACAGTACTGTGCTTGAGGTTCATAAATGAACCTCAAGGAGTAACTAGCAAAGAGTACAAAGTTACATTTATATTTTTTAACACTTGTATACAGTACTCTAGAAATGCCAACAGTGGGAACAGAATATTGAAAAACAACTTCCCCATTCCAGGCTTGGAAATTAATAACCACCATCCTCAAAAATTTGGTGTTTGATATTTTGACAAGAATTTCAGACTAAGTTAAAGATGGTCCAATGAGAGATAGACCAAAAGATGATGTTGAGCTGGAAGTCTTGTTTGGTAGGCAAGTCATATTAAGCAGGATTGGGAAGTGTGGCACCAAAGACTTCCAAACAGTCTACCTCTACTTTATAGTGGCAACTGACATAATAAGTGTCACCTTACAATGTTTCCTGTATTACTGAAAAGTTTACCTAAATTTCACATTTATTTACATTTTTAGGTTCCAGTGATAAATTTAGGATGCAGGTACTGTACCTGGGAACCTGACTGTCACCTTAAAGACTTGTTGAGTGTACATGAGTCACTCGAGACCTGCACTAGGTTAGAAATATACACTCCTCGCCATTGCATTATGCGCGGGGTCATGACGGACATAAACAACAAGATGAAATAGTAATAAAAAATTAATCTGAGAAGTTAACAAACTTCCGGTAGCCTCCCTTTTCTCTTGATACACTCCTGCAGGCGTGAAGGAACTGACTCTGCTAAGTTGTGGATTATTTGTGGGTCTAGATTATTCCACTCCTCACAAATGGCTACCTCCAGCTTGGGGACGGTATTTGTGTCCTTGCCTTGTAGACGAAACTTGATGATGCTCCACTTATTTTCTATCGGGTTAAGGTCAGGCAATTTGCTTGGCCAATCACTTGTGAAGTCTACCTGACAGTCAAAAAGCCACTGTATTGCAGGTTTTGCTGTGTGACATCAGTGAGGCATTTTTCAAAAGACCCGGGCAAATAATCACAAAGCAGCTCCAAGTAGTTAAATTGGTTCATCATCACATTCCTAGGTAGCACAACAAGATCTCCAGTTCCAAAGTACTAGAAGCAACCCCACACCATTAGTGACTCAGGATGCTTAACTGTGCTAAAAGTGAACTTGGGGTCAAGCAAATCACTCCCGGGGTGCCTGTACACATTAAAAGTATGACTTCCAGTAAAAGAAAACGTTGCCTCGTCACTCCACATCACGTGCTGCCACTTGGTCGTATCCCACTGAACGTTAGCCTTGGTAAAAGAGACCCTATGCTGCCTCTGGACAAGGGTGAGGAGTGACTTCTTGAGTGTGCGGTGGCTGCAAAACTGCAGGTCGTCATGGATGCGGCGGTGAACAGTCCTTACAGAACCATCACCTATAAGTACAGGTTTTTTCTTTCAATTCCCGTGCTGACAGACGTGGATTAGCATCAAGTTGTCTCTTAAGAACAGTTAACGTGCATTGGGAAGTTTTTCGAGCCTTCCCTGGCCGTCTGTTGTGGACTGGTATTGCCAACCCGCCGTCATCTCGAAATCGTTGAATCCAAATCTGAACAGATCGTTCACTCACATCAACAATTCTTGATATTTCCTTTACAGGCTTTTTGCCCTTATGCAGACTAATAATTGACGCTATCTGCTCTTTTGTTAAATCTTTCCTCTTGCCCATTGTGGTAAAAAAGCAAAGAAACAACGGGCGATGTGGCAATAAATAGGGGCAATTTCAGGGGGGGGGGTAAAACTCATAAATCTCCGTTCACAAAATTTAAGCGGGGAACTGGTGAACGTTTTGATTGCTGGCTGACCTGTCCTCGAGTCTCCCTTCGCTGCCGGATGTACAATGCCTGCCTCAGCCCCAGCTGGCTGGCGTGGAGGGGTGCGAGACACTTCAGCAAAGATCACTTCCAGTCGGCCACCTATTGCATAATGCAATGGCGAGGAGTGTAGTCACTCTCAGTTGAACTCTTAGCATAACCCAACTTACCTTTCTGATGCTGGGGCCAGTTTTTCAGTTGAGCCAAAATAATACAAAGCCGCTAACACATGCTGTTTGTACTGGTCCAACTCGGCCACTGGTACTCCTTCCTTCATCAGTCTTTCTGCCACCTCATGCTGCCATTCTCCCACTAGGAACTTAGAATAAAAAAATCACATTTCTATAATTCTTTCCTGTTGATTCATCTATCAACCATTACCTAAAGCACAATTTCCTCCTGTATATTTTGACACTACTGTAGTGGGGGCAAAAAGGAGGGCAAAGTTATATTCACACCAACGACCATCACAACCCTAACATCTACAGTTTTTATTTTTAACCTGATGCTTAAGATATGATAGTGTACTGTATGGTGGAAACTCTATTTAATAGACTAGAGGAGAGCAAAGTCAGTTATATCGAGGTGTCTGTTAGATGTGAATCCTCCATCTAACCAACTATGAGTAATACAGTAACACCAAATGTGTTAATCCGTTAAGTATGATGAGTTAACCCTTTGAGTATGATGACTTAACTCCTTGATTATAATGAGTTAACCCCTTGAGCAAGAGTTGACCTTCTGTGTATGATGATTTAACTCCTTGAGCATGTTGACTTAAGGGGTTATATCATAATACTGATGGGGTTAATGTAAGATATCTTTAGTGAAACACAAGATCTTAAAATAATTCCACTTTTGAGTCTTACGTCCACCAGCAATTTAAAGGACAAAATACTTACCTCATAAACACTTTTTGTGACCCTAAATGTATGGAGGAAATCTGTGTCAGTTAATTCTGCCTCCTGGGAAGGGACAAGTTCAGCTATTTCTGTCTTGGCAGTGAATTTGACTTTTTGAATTCTTCGACGTTTTCTGGTAATCTAGAATAATAAGTAAATAATAAAACACATTTATTAAACACAACTAACACTGACCTATAATCCTTTCATTACACTGTACTGCATTCTGCTGATATTTGTATACGTATACCGTACGTACTTACTGCTAAGACACTTACAGACTTCCACTGAATATTGTTACTTTCTGTAACACCTCACCTAATCTATTATATGAAAACCAACCAAGCCATCTCAAGCAAAATTATGTTTACTATAAAACTATCTTATACATACAGTGACTTACATCATTAGGCACAGGATGGTTGTGGGCAGCCAGCGAGGGAAGTCTAACTTGGTACAAAATCTCCATCTGAACTCCAGGTTCAGTAAGAGCCTCTTGCAGAAGGGCTTTTTTCATCTTATCTCTGCTTCGTTTAGATGGCTCACTATCTGTTGATACCTGTAATAGGAGTTACTATAATAAGTTCAAATAACCAAATTTTATTCAGGATCAACCTAACAGTAATGGCGGGATCATACACTGCTACATAGTGCACATTAAGCAATGGCCTTTTATATATTAGCTCTTCTGAAATCAATATACAGTACTGTAATGTCCTACAATGTGAAGCCAATATGATTTGAGACCAATGGTTTACCTTACTGGGTGAATACAAAACCTCAGTGTGGTGAAATGTGATTGTTAAGTTTAATCCTAGTGAAGATGCAATAGTTAGACCTCTTAACTCATGTAAAATAGTACTTTTTATTGTACACTACTCTACGCTATAGCATAATTATTAACATACAGTACCTTATACTGTAGAGCATCTTCAATGTACTGTACTGGTACAGTAATACCTAAGGGACCACTTTTTACTTCACAATTAATTGAATAAAACTATATTTAACTCCTTCACTGCAGGGAAGCCACCTTTAAAATTATATTTCACTAACCCTAAGTGATTTTATTCAACTCAGAGGGGAACCCATACACAAAGGGTTAAAAGTTCCATAGGATGTGTGTAAAATACCAATTCAGTTACAGTACTGTATTGTATAGCATAAATACTTACTAAATACTGTTGAAAAATCTTTAACCAATTTGCCTTTTGCTGTGGGCCATTCTGTTTAACTTAGATCTCTTTATCTTAAATCTGTGGCTGTTGTGTCTCTGATCATTCTGTCTGGTGACCGGTTCAATGGACTGGGAAGGATTCAAGATACTGTACAGTACATATGTATAGGGAGTTCACCTTGTATCCAGGGAACTTGACCAACTTGTGGGCATACAACATGGCAGTGCAACCAATCTTCTTTGACACCGGTGGTGTCCTGCGTTTGATCTGTACGTGGCGTTCTCGCTGAAAATAAAACCTCATTAGCATACCGACAAATTCTGAATGGCATTTTTTAAATAACCACAATACTTATACCTTGGTTTTGATAAGATATGAAAGACATAAGCAAAACAAGATAAAATGACACTAGAATCACACTAGGTTAATGTAAAGGGCTACTTTGATATACAGTGGGGTATGCTATCACGAATCTAATTGGTTCTAGAACCTTGTTCGTTATAGCATTCGTTCGTTATAGGATTAATCCGTTCCAGGCCCCCAAATACAACCACTTAACACTGAAAAATATAATATAAAATTGTAAAAAAGTGCATAAATATGCATCTAAACCCCTGAAATAAAGAATATCATTAATACTTGTAATAAAAAAACAATAAATTAGCAAAAAAAAAAATTAAATAATGTTCGTTGTAGGAGTTTCGTTCGTTATAGCATTCTCAATTTTATAGGTAAAACCGTTCGTTATAGGAATATTCGTAGTAGGATCCGTTCGTTATAGCATACCCCACTGTACTGTACACTTACATTACACATTTTTCAAGTACTGTACAGTATATTTCATTATAGATATCTTATGGCCTTCATGTGAAAGGGGAACACCAAAGCAGTCACAGCATGAGGAATGAATGAACTTTTGACAACAAATTTACAGGAATATCATGAAGAATATGATTTTTGTAAATTGTTGTGATGCCTGCTTAATAAAATCATTTTATGGAAAAATATTTTAGAAATGACAGAATTCTTCAATTTTCATTTACAAAACGCACTTCAGGACTCATAGCTATAGTATAGTACAGTATATTAAAACTGTGACATCATTCCAAAAGAACTGAAGTCGCCGGCAGATAAACAACAGACTTCAGATTTAGGTCACTACACAAGCTGAATCTTAGAGTTTGGCCAAGTGAGCTAAAACCTACTAGGTAAATTAATTTTTATCACAGAAACTACAGATACAATTTGACAGTTAACTACAGTAGTTACCTCTATTCTGTCCCGCTGTTCTCTGTATTTTGCTTTCCTTCTCTTGCCAAAGTCTGGTCCTTGATGGCACCGCCAAGACTTGACACCTCCAAACATGAATGGAACACCATCAAATGGGACCTTTGCCTGTTCATGTCTCCAGTACAAACGACTCTTCTCCCCAATATCAGGCTTCCAATCTGAAATAATTTCATATACTGTAGTGTACTGTATACTGTAATCATTGTGAATAAATAAATATATAAGTACAGTAAAAGTCCAAAAATCCGGATGCCAGAAATCTGGACTTTTCGAAAAAAAAAAATTTTTAGTTGGCTTTTGTGCATATGTGCACATGCGTGAGCACCACAGGTGCACAGCGACCATGCAGTCGCCATTTTAAAACGAGCAATCAAACTGTGACAACGTATGTAATTTTGAGTCCTACCATACTCTTTCCATTTACAGAGTACTGTACTGTACAAGCCCATAATAATGGCACCTAAAGTAGATAAACTTTGTTGTGAGAAGAGAAAGAAGAACACGTTGAAATTGAGTGACAAACTTGAAATAATTAAGAAACTAGAACGTGGTGTGAGCAATACTGTTCTAATGGAAACATACGACATTGGAAAGTCTACAATTTATGATATAAAGAAGACAAAGAATAAAATTCTAGAATTCACAGCTTTTTCTTTAAAACTGCTCGTTTTGATAAATGAAGCATGCTATATTTGCGAATGAATAAACTATCAAAATGTACCTGTTCATCTCTTCTTTATTCCTCCTTAAATTTGAATTTTAAAAGTGCTGCCTGAGAATCCGGAAAATCCGAAAATCCGGACTGACCCAATCCCCAAGCAGTCCGGATTTTTGGACTTCTACTGTACTGTATATAAATGCTAGAATATTATGTCTGTGTATACATTACAGCATTTTACAGGTCCAGTCCAGGTCCCATCGATGCTGTTAAATCGAGGTTTACACTGTATCACCACATATTATTATTATTGTTACTATTTTAGACTAGATTAAATAGGTTATGTTTGGTTAGGTAGATTTGTATGGAAAGGAAGAAAGGTCAATCGGTCATTCACTGACTGGGAAGTGTTCTGTTGCTTAGTATTCAGGGCCTGCCAGCTGGACGCTGTGTAGCATTTGTCAACAATCGCGTGCAAACATGGTGGCATTGTACTGTAAAGCTGACGAGGGACAGAAGTACAGTGTCTCTATTTACAGGAAAAGGTAGAGAAAGAACCTGAATACGAAAAGTGTTATTCCTCCACTTCGACTAGAAAATATCCGGAGGAGGGCCACCAGACTGGTGTCTAAACTATGGCACCTCAGTTACCCAGAGATATTAGAAGGCCTGCAGCTGCCTAGCTTATACTATCTGCAGGTAAGGGCCAGGGGTGACAAGAAAAGTTTATAAACATCTGGGAGGGCACTACTCAGTCTAGTGTTCATACCCTGGAACTGGCAGATGCCCGCTTCACTAGGGGTCACAGCTTAAGGTTAAATATGCCACAAGTTCATAAAATTGTCAGGACAAACCTTTTCGGAGTGAAAGACGTGAACTCTTCAAACAATTTGCCAGTGTGTGTTGTGATGGCACGGAGTGTGAGATCGTTCAAGACCGGACTTGATCAACACTGGTGCAGGTACAGATACATTCTGGAGCCAGTACAGGTTAATATTCGGTTTAGCACATGACCTGGACTTCAGGATGAAAATAGGTTCTTATATATCATTTAATTCAGAATAAATTTTCTTCTACAAATTGCTAATAGCAGAAATATAATCATATCAGCAATATTTGGGTCGATTAAAATTAACATCTGCCGACAAAAGCGTGTGTCTACTATGCTGTCACCCTCACCAACCATGAGAGCAGGGGGGAGGGGGGGGGGATCCAGAGGTCTTTGCCCTTTGGCTAGAAACATGGCATTAAATGAGTTGGGTTAGGTTAGCTTAACTTTTTAAGGTTGGGTAATGCCACATGCCTTCTTTCACCCCAAAATTCCCCTCTAATTCAAAGCCCTGCCCACTTTTGTGGACTTCAAAATTGTTGGATGGAGGGAGCATATCTTCATAACTGTTCATTTGCACAAGAAATACCATAAAAGAAAGTCGACTCAATTAAATTTTATACAAGAATAACCTATTTTTCAGCATAATGTCCAGGACATGTGCTAAACCAAATAATTATACACTCCAGTACATGCCCAGTACTTGCCAACTATGTACAACAGAGATGTGACCAACCATCCAAGTGGCTAACAAGCCTGTCGGTGCTTTCATCTCAAAAAAATCAAAGCGTGAATTGGGTGCGAGTTATCTTAGGTACGAGTTGGCGTGGGTACGAGTTAACTTTTTTGAGTGCGATTTATCTTGGGTACAAGATGACTCTAACCCATGAAAGAGTAAGGTAAGTTATGGTAAGATATGTTTTCTCATATAGATTTTCACTAGGTGGCTGGTTAACCCAGACCCTTGTTCTTAAATATTACCCAATAATGTACTACTATTTCCTTATCATTTTAAGTAAAATACCTGTTATTTCCTGAAAGGAATTACTTTTGTAGATTTTTATTTGTTGCCACTAAACAAAATCGAACTTGAAACTGTTATTCTGATGATTTTTGGTGTTATGAGTGAATATGACCTTCACTTCCGGCACAAATCAAGAATTTCTGAGATAGGCCCCTCTCCAATATCAGAATCTAGAGATTTGCGATAAAAATCAAGGTGAAAAGTGTTCAAAACACCCAAAAAAAATCGAAAAAGTGTAGAATCTAGCCTAATCAAACTATGGGGCTCCTCAATCGTTCCATGTTCTGGGTGTTTGAACATACTTAATAAAATTTAAATATATCGTTTTTACATAATTAGCACCATAAATGCCATTAAAGAAAGGTGTCTTAGAATTGTCAAAATTACTGATTGCAACTATTAAACTCCCGAGAATCGTTTAATGGCAATAAGTGAACTAATACCCTTACTTCCATCTCCAAACTTTGGTGAACAGACATCAAGGATGAACTTGGAACGAGTTTTCTCTTGAAATTCCTTAAGACACTCATTAACTTCTTCAGCAGTGTGGAAGATTTTACATTGTTCTTGTGCCGTATCATTATGTTCATTGTCTCGGGGATGATCAGCTTGTTCTTCAGTAGTTTGGAGGACATTATGTTTTTCTTCTTCTGCCATAGGTGTTCAATAAGTTAACATACTGACAAAATCTATAAAAAACGACTTTAATTCATTCACTCGGGAAAGGATTTGACTTATTAATTATAATTCCATGTTCTTATTTCAACAGCTCTTAATGTCTATGAACTTGTATTAATTTCATGTTCTTATTTCAACAGCTCTTAATGTCTATGAACTTGTATTTTATTTATTTAGAGGATAAAAGTATATAATAACTCTGGGTCCTGTTCTCCCAGCCTCAACTCACAGGTCTGTTGTGTTTACTGAAGACTTAACCCAAGTCTCATAATCCGGATTCTCAATACTGAAGCTTTTGTGTTATTTTACCTATTTTACTTCATTTATTTTACTTTACTTCATTTATTTTACTTTACTTCATTTATTTTACTTAATTTATTTTACTTTACTTCATTTATTTTACTTTACTTAATTTAATTTGTCCTCGTCACCACCTGTCAGATCACCTAAAGATTAACCAACCTAACTTAACCAAACCTGACCTAATGTAACCAAACCTGACCTAACGTAACCAAACCTGACCTAATGTAACCAAACCTGACCTACCTTTACCCCCATCCCTCTAAATAAATGTTAAACACAATGCCAGTGGTACTTCTAAAATACGAAAACAAGTTCATGATATAAAAACTTAATTTTAAAGGATTTTCTTAGTAATATGAGGTTTCATCTTCTCAGTTTGAAAATAAGGAGACTGTACATTAGTTAGCATGAAATAATTCAATAAATGGACATCAATTTCAGCTTAAAGGTTTTTCTTGTTTAATGTTGTGAGTTTTTGTATTTCAGGATAGCTGCTGTCAGTTACTGAACTTACTGTTAGTTTAATATCCAGCCAAGGTCGTCAATGGTTTAGCCTGTATGTAAATCAATAACATATACCTCTCCATTGTCTGTAACACTTGTCTTCTCCATCTCGTGAAGGTAAATTCTAAAATTAGTGAATTAACTACCCTTATATGTAGGCATATTGGTACTTTATTCCTGTAGCTGCTGGTCGGCTCTGTAAATTTTCACATAAGTAAAGACTAAAGAGGGTAAAGGTGTAGGTGGCCACCAGAAGGAATTGTCCGAATTGGTTGAAATTTTTTGTACACACTAGTATCATGATATTAAACACAAAACTGGAAATGACACTGCATACTGTAGAACCTAATAGAACCTAACATACCCATAGGTTGGATGGGGTCTGCCCATATCATCATCAATCCGTTTCGTTACCACTATTTTTAACCCGTTTCGTAACCACTGCTTTACCTGTCTCGTCACTGCGTTCATTCCCATCAATATATACACAAAAATAGCTGTTGCTTGGGATAGAAAATAATAAAAAAAAGCACTAAGACAATTTATTAAAGACGAAAATATGAAATAAAAACATTGTTAATATGCCTGCAATCATCTCGCTGCTCGGCGGTTTATGCGCTGTGCCAAATCACCTTCATTATTTTGTTCTGTATTTACCAATGTTTTAATCGTTTTCTTCATTAATTAATATTCATGTATAATAATAATAATACAATACTTCTTGACTCTCAAGTCGTCTGTATACACGTGTAATTTCTATTCGTGTAAAATAATAACTAACAATTTGTCACTAATACCAGTGACTGTGGTGACGAACAGATTTGATATTGGTGACAAAATGGGGAGTATTTGGTTGGGTTTGTTAGGTCAGGTTTTATTAGGTTCTATTCATTATTTTGTATTTATTTTTTATATAATGCTAATAACATGATATTAAACACAGAAATGGAAATGACAATGCATAGAACCTGACAATCTTTTTATTTACTCTATCCCGCTTCACAATTCTCCTCCCGGCACCATTTTTGTTGTTTACCTCGCTGAATCCCTGGAAATCGTCTAAGTGGCATGGACTGGGTAATTATTTTACTTTTATCTCTTCTCCACTGATACGGCTCGTTGGCTGCTTGGGCGATAGGTCACGTCTCTGTTACTCACTGTTGGCAAGTACTGAGCATGCACCGGCTCCTAAATGTATCTGACCCCGTTCCAGTGTTGGTCAAGTCTGGTCTTGAAAGAGCTCACACTCGGTGCCGTTACAACACTCTCTGGTAGATTGTTCCAAGAGTTCACAACCCTCACTCCGAAAAAGTTACCCCTCACAGTTTCTGGGCTTGCAGCTTCTTCAACCTTGAGTTGTGACCCCTTGTGGGGCGAGCATCTGCCAGATCCAGGTAAGGGCACTCGACTGAGTACAGTAGTGTCCTTTGAGATACTTATACACCTCAATTAGGTCTCCCCTTGCTCGCCTGTTGTATAAGATAGGCAATTTCAGGCGCTCTAATCTCTCAGGGTAGCTGAGGTGCGGTAGTGCAGGCACCAGTCTGGTGGCCCTCCTTTGGATATTTTTAATCAACTGACAGTCCCTTGCATATCTCGGGGACCAGACGGGGTGACAATACTCCAGATGGGGAAGCACTTCACTCTTGAAGATCGTTGCGAGGGATAGACCGTCTAGATATCTGAACGACCTTCTTATAAGACCTAATAATTTAGTTGCCTGATTTACCTTCTTCTCGCAATGGCCCAGGAACTTCATCTCATTGTCAACGTACACACCTAGGTCCTTTTTACATTCAGTCTCAATTAATGCAGTTTCTTTGTCTCATTGGGACATATGATACGCCTCCTTACCGTTGGTACGTCCCAGGTGCAGCCTCTTACACTTCCTGACATTGAATCTTAGCAACCATTTCTTTGACCATTCTTGAAGCTCACAGCGATCCCACTACAGCTCTTCACAGTCCGCTTGGTTCTTAATTTTCCGAAATAACGTGGCATCATCTGTAAACATTTGTATGAAGGAATGTACAGCGTCAGGCATGTCATTTATGAAGCAAACAAACAGCAGCGGGACCAATACACTGCCCTGTGGTACCCCGCTTGTGACAGGTGCACATGATGATTTTGTGCCATTAATCACCACACTGCTTGCGGTCATGTAGAAAGTCTCTGATCTACATTGGGACATTTTGACTCCTGATTTTATACCTCACAAATCCTTGAGTCAAACTGTGTCTTAGAGGACTAATTCATCTCCCATGATTTGACTGGGTAAGAAGTGATCCTTGCTTTTTACTTTTGTCTTCTTTGCCACTGATCGGCTCATTAGCCACTTGGATGGTCGGGCTCGTCTCTTGTTACACACTGTTGGCAAGTACAAGGCATGCACTGGCTCCTGAATGTATCTCAACCTGCTCCAATGTTGGTCGAGCCTTGTCTTGAAAGAGCTCACACTCGGAGCCGTCACAACAATCTTTGGCAGGTTGCAGCTAACCTTAATCCTACCTAGTCCCTCTGTATAGTGTATACTGTACTGTCATTAACGTGTGAGGAGGTTTTATAGTACTGTATGTAAGGTAAGCTCTGGCAGGTGTTTTAAGAAAATGCATCTCACAGGTTGCTTATATCTCCCCATCAGACATAGAATAGGATTTTGTACCATACTTCACTCAATGAAATCTCTTTCTGTGCACTCTTTCTTCAGTGAAGTAATGGATATTTGTAGCAAATATACTGTAATTTATTTAATGTATGGAATGTACAGTACTTTTATGTATTTATATCACTTCCTACAAGGCTTCTTAACTGTTCCACTATTTACCACATATGCAGGAAAGAAGAAATACTTTTTTTGTCATACCATTTTATCAAACTTTTTGTAAGTGCAGGCCCTCTCTTCATTCACATTAATTTGAACTTTGACCTGATTTCCTATAACCGATTTGGTTTATTGACCTAGTATTAAAGGAACAATAAAAATTATTGAAGTAATGATTAGTGCTGCTGTAGAACTTCCCATGTAAAATAACAGACAGACTTATTCACCTAAAAATTGATTGCAATAAATTGATTCTTGCTTACTTTTAATTTTATAATAATCCTGCCCGTACAGTGCAGTACAGTACTTTATTTGACATTACAAGGAAAATCTGAGATAGAATTTTTTTCAGGCATTGAACTACACCCAGTAAACAAGAAAGTACAGTACTGTACTGTAGATTTGTACATCCATATAAAGGAATCAAAATGGAGGAATCATTTTCACCATCACCACTGCTATCACAAAAGGAGATTAACCAGGATTGGCTAGAGAAGGTGTTAAGCCATAGCCAGAAAGGTGCTGTTAAGGTTCAGTCCTGGACAGTGAAATCACCAGATCGTAGGAATGGGTTCCTCAGTGAAATATGTTTTGTTAAAGTATCTTATACGGCCTCTGAAGGTTGTACTGAAGAGAGAGATCTTGTAATTAAGTTTAACCCACAAGATAAGAAGTTGGTTGAGATAATGATGAATGGCAATCTGGGTAAGAGGGAGGTGGCATTTTACAAATATGCTGGCTCTGAGGATGTCAGAGCTTTTTTTTTTAAATGTGGTTTAATTAATCCAGTTCCATATGTATATTTGGCAGGTATAAAGGAAAGTTTGTTGACTATTGTTATGCATGATCTAAACACTGATGGGTACAAGTTATCAACTCCTGCTGAGGGAAATTATTTGAATCAGATAAAAAGTACTCTGAAGCCTTTAGCTATAATTCATGCATCAGGTATTGCTGCCATACAGAGTCACGGTAAACTTTATGTAGATTTTTCATGGGACCCCAGTTTTTTGGATGAACTGGTTAAAACTGGTATTGATTTACAAGTAAAACTTTATGATGGAACGACTACAGCCAATACTTTAAAATCGCTTATTCCACATTCAGCAGACCTAGTTAATTGGTCTGATAAATATCCATTTGTTGATACACTGATACATGGCGATCTGTGGACTGGCAATGTTATGTTTTCTGATGACGACCAACTAGCTTCTATATTTGACTGGCAATTTGCCAAAGTTGGAAACCCAGTTTGTGATATCTTAACACTACTGCTCATGAGTAGCCATCCCTCTGTGTATAATGAACACTTGATTGAAACATTAGAATTCTATTGGGATAATTTTGAGAGAGCTCTGAAGCAAAATGGAGTTTCAAGTGGTATTTCATTTGAAGATTTAGTAAGGAATTTAGAAGACATGTGGATGTATGGTTTTATGTTTATGTCAGCAAGTTTGTCAGTCTTGGTGGAAAACTCCAAGATCACTGTTGGGAGAGTACAAGCTATTGTCTCATTTTTGGAGGAAAAAGAAGCATTTGCTAAGTTTTTGCTGTCTTGTCGCTAGTTATTGCATTGAGTCATAGTAAACAGGAAGGCACAAAATGATTACTGTACTATATAAGGCTTTTGAGTACAGTATAGTACTATACTGTATAAGTAAGGCACTACAACAATTCAACAGTATTGTATTGTATTGTCTCTTTACTAACTTTTAATTTATTTTTGGTGAAATATGATATAGATTTGCTCTAGAAGTAGTTTATTTCTTATATACAGGGTAATAAAGAGTACCCTGTAGTTCCTGTAAGGCTCTTCTTAGGAAAAAATTTACAGTGCCTGATAACAGTAAACAGTTGTAAGGTTTAATGGTTAACCCATGCACTCGTCACCAGTGATGTTAATATCCCAACATAGGTGTGGGAGCAGGACAACATTACTGAACGTACTGTACTGTACTGGGTATGGGTAGAATGAGTAAACCACAAAATAAATAATATTTCCCCATCTCCTCTTACAGATGAGATGGTAATGATACCAAGTGTTGTGTGAATATAATAATTCTGACTTAATAGAATAAAAATTCCATGAATTTGTTTGTGAATGAAGGATCACAAGATGTGGAACTGCTGTAATAGTATGTTTTCCCTCCATTTTTTGGGAGTTATGAATTACAGTGTATTTTCATTCAGTGTTGTAGTAACAGGGAACCATAGACCCTTGTGTTTAACATGCTTTTTGTGCTTTGTAAAGGAGGGTGTAGTCGAAAAATAATTTTAGAGGAAGAAGATTTTCCTG